TTAACTATTGAATGTAAGATGATTCACTAAAAATCACATCAGTATGTAATATTTACTGCAAAGGGGGTGAAGGTCCACTTTAAACCACTTTGGGCTGGAAGGTGGGTGAATACCTGCTGAAAGGCCATTTGATAGTTCAGGTTGCTGATTTCCTTGGCTTCAGCTGTTATCTAGTCCTCTGATGGAGGAGAATAGTGCTATAACTGTGTTTTCATCATATTGTTATAGACAAATGTATCGTTCTTTTATTTTCTGCACATGCTTTGTTGCCAGCATCTGTATGTATAATATCTGCCGGGTAGAAAAAGTATCACTTGTTTTATGATGCAATTTGGCTCAGGGGGGGGAAATATCACCTTATCCTCTGCACAGCTGGATTTCATGCATCAGCTGCTCCTGAGAGTTTTGTAGAAAGTATTCCACCAGTATGGAATAAGTACAAGGAAACAATCATTCACTAAATTACATGACTTCACACCCTTGAGAGGGAAATCCCTACAAATCTCAAGTTGAAGTATCCACTTATGTACTGGATTATCATACTTGAATATGATTGACTGAAGGCACCTGGAAGGAGACGAGAGAACTAGTAGAGAAAGAAAACGTCTGGATGGTGTGCAGTGCAACAGTGAAATAGGTCATAATAAAATCACATTTTATGGAATATGCAAATACAGTTAAAGCATGTATTCCAATGATTATCTATTACAGGGGGAAAAAAAAGTATATCATCTCCAAGAAATGGGATGCCCAACATGGAAGAAAATTTAAATATGCCTTTTGGGGGGGGGTGGTGGGGGGAGGGAGGGAAAGAGAGATTCTATCTATGTGAATTGTGTTGCAAAACAGGAGGGGGAACAAAGGAACAGACAGAGTACAAGAAACATGACAAGACAGGGTGACATAGCCCATGCAGCTTCACATTCTATTAAAAACAAAGCTTTTTAAACTTTGCAATTAGCACCAGACTCCCCAGCAATATATATAATTTTAAAATCTTCGTTGGAACAATTAGATTCTGCTGTCCGTGTGATGCCATAGCTGGGCAATGCTATGGGATTTTGCTCTTCTTTCCACCTGCGACACATACTATAGTGTCAGAGGCTGTGAGAGCAAGAGCTGCAGTACTCCACATCCCCCTGGCTCATGTCGCCTCTGACATTATAGAAGGAATGTCACAAGTGGAGGCAGAAGAGCGATCCCCATATCTTTGTTCTGGTAAAAAGTGAGCAATGACTTGTACTATAATCTGTAAATCATGGGAGGTGTGTGACTTAAAACAACGGAGGATCAGGTAAGTAAAACTGCTTTACTTCAGTCCCCTAAGCATAAGTGGGCAGTTAACCCTTGCAGTGTGGGGTGGCTCCGCTGCAAAAGGGTTTTGTATGCTCAGTGCAAGGCTTTATTATTATTATTTTTTTTAATTTAGGATTTAGTATGGAAGGGTTAGAACCTGGTCTTGCTCCCTGCTGGGGAGATTTGGTTTGTGCACTGCAAACATGTTGGGTGTTTGTGACACATTCCATGGCAAAGTGTGTGGGTTTTCCTGCATTAGTGTGCGTTCACAGAACGTGATTGTGTGAATGGGGCTTTAAAGCCCAAGCGGTATTTCCACCTTGGGGCACCATTCCCAAAACTGGCAAGGTAGCTGCATGCACTTGTAGAAACTTGATAGAATGTGTTTTCTCTTACCTTATGATTACTCTTACCTTATGATGTCTTCAATCAGGAAAGAGAAAAAAAAACAAAATGTCCATCACCTAAGGACAATGACAAAAACCGGAGGAGTTCCTGGAGTGGGAGAGGTTATATGAAGTCATAGCTTTGGCCTGTGTGCAATCACCCCATGATACCTGCATATTACCCAGTTGTCTATGAATTGCCTATGTCCTGTACGATCAAGGTTTTGTCTGCACCATAATGACAGTAAAGAAGAGTTGGTCTATAGGCAGGTTGTGTTGTGTAGTAGAGCTCAGAAATTATACAGCCCTCTAGAATAGGGAAATTAAAACATTATAGTTCTAATGATCTCTTTCACCGTCAGTTTCAACTCCATTTCAGGTCACAGAAATTCTAAGTGTATTTCCTACTTTTGCAGCCAAATTGCTCTGGTGTGAAAGAAAAGCTGTTCTCTGGAATACAAGGAGTGGGGGAGAATGTTTGTCTGGTACCATCTAGCGCTTTTCTCCCCAACCATCCCTGGCTCTCCCCTTCCGTTTACTGGATTTCAGATTTCTTTCACTATTGGAGAGTCTGCATGCAAATAGAACCTGCCTCGGACTGACAAAAATCAGAGATCAAAATAATCTAAAAATTGTTTTAACTGCTGCCATTTATTTAAAAATGTGCTTAAAGAAAAAAAGAAAGTACTTTAGTAGGAGTTGGGTGCAGGTCTACAGCAAAAGTCACACAAAAAATGTCTTCCATGTACTGGGAGTTACTCTTCATATGGACAGGAAACTTAGTAGGCGATGCTAAAAATGATCCCGCAGACAGCTGGCCAGACCATGGAGCAGATGGCAGGTTTAGAAGTGGAAGAGTAACACAGGGCAGTGTATGTGAGCCTACCTGTTAGGGCAATGTGCTCTGGAATAATTGTCTGAGATTGGTTACGAGCTACAAAGACTCTTCTGTTTTTAAACCTGCGTGACTGTCCCTGTTGACAACAGGAAAAAAAAACCCAAACAGGGTGGTCAAGTCCTTACATGCCACCCGGCTTCCTTAATGGGACTTCCGGTGTTGGTAATAAAAAGAAAGAAAACGGGTTTCGGTGCATCCCTAGTTAGAATATATATTGTTGGCATAGAAGCTCCATAGCTGTCATTTACATTCTTTATTATGAGCTGGGTCACTGCCCTGGAACCACCATGTGCAATGTTAGAAGTTGGAAGAGTTAAACAATCTGATGCACCCACCCTGTCAGAAAAAAAATAAAGAAAGCTAGACAGATTTCAGCAAAAAAAATAAATATATAAATTGGGGTGGGTGGCTGGCTCTGTCGGCACCGGCCAAACTACAATTTGGGGGGGGGGGAGGAGATGGAGGAATCAATCGAAGGAGCCAGATGAAAGGCTGTTGGCCTAATAGTTACTGCAATCATTTAGATGCAGTCAGTTTAGGTATTCAGAAACCCATGGATGCCTGCTGCATGAATATAATAACAAGCAGGGGGGATTCTGCAATCCATGCCTTTTTTTTTTATTTTGATGAGGGAATAGAGTGATTTCTTTCAGCACACATTGTTAAAGGAGAGACATTATACAAGTGTATGGTTAGCCATGGTCTGCTCTATACTCAGCTGCCGCTTAGTGGACAGTCAGTGCTTTACATGATGCAATGTTTGTAGAACTTTCACAAGGCTCTAATATACCTTTCATTAGAAGTGTGTTATGCTTATTTATTGTATTACAATACGAGTTATGGAGCTGCAAGTATTATAATCAAGTTATAATCGATCACAAGAGCAGTGGCTACTTTTGTTCCCCATGGTCCCTGTGTGTGTTATAAAGTAGTCACCGCTCCAAGCTCACTCCCGTGATGGACTACAATCTAATTTTTAATTTACTAATTTGTATTGAAGTTATAGCCTATCATGGCAGCAAGCTTGGTAGTGGGGGACTACATTACAACACACAGGGACCATGGGGAACAAAAGTAGCCACCCTCCAGAAGGCAGGACAGTGTCAGCATGATGTCAGAGATGATTTGAGGATCATCTCTGAGTAATACACAAATAAGATACATTTCTGTTAAATAGAGAGATGGAGTTATTACTCACACAACACAAATAGAGAGATGGAGTTATTACTCACACAACACAAATAGAGAGATGGAGTTATTACTCACACAACACAAATAGCGAGATGGAGTTATTACTCACACAAATTACTCTATTTACATCTCTGTTTTACTGAGCTCTACTACCCAAGAAATTTGCAGTGGAACTCAAGAATTGCTTATACAGGAGAGTCTTCCCCAATTTTATGTACACACCCATGAGAGTAAATTTTATTAAACTATTCACATAACCACGTGAAAAAGTTCCTGCAATGGAACCAAACAGTGATGAAGACTAAAGTTGACTGTACACTAAGCAAATTTTGGCAGGTTCCGTCTGACTCCTCCCCGGCATCCTTGGATTTAGGGCCCAGTCACATCATATCCAGTGCGTCCCAGGGCAGTTCGCGTCCGGAACACACTGGATAGCATACATGAACCCGGGCTGCATTCTGGGGCAGGGCAGGCCCGTGCTTTGTCAATGGCACCGCAGACACACCTGCAGTGCGATTTCCCACACCGGAACACAAGGTACAGGAATGCCCTCCATTCCAGTGCGATCTGAAAAGAATAGTGCATGCATGCACAATTTTTTTTCTGACTGCACCAGACACTAATGTGGCCCGTGCAGCCGGAGGGCATGGCTGTGGTGCCATTGAGTTCAATGTAACACAACCCCTCCCACCCCCATAACAAAGCGAGTGGCCAGAACGCGATCCAGTGCGTTCCAGCCAGAATCGGGTCGGAGTGCACTGAGGCTGGTGTGAACTGGCCCCCCAGGTGATTTTGGTAGCTGGTGTGGCCAATTGTCAAAATACAATATCCCGGACAGAGATTACGCTGTTTAGCGCTGGATGTTTTTTTCTGTTCAGTTAATGTTCTTTAGGCCATATTCTTGAAATAAGGCAGGTATGTTTCTTTGGCCACTTGTGTTGCCCTAACGGTTAGGGCAACACAAGTGGCCAAAAAAAAACCACACAGCCCTCTCCTAAAACGACCTTGTTAGGCTAGGGCCTAGCCTAAAAAGGTCGTTTTAGGAGGGGGCTGTGTATACGAGCCAGATCAAACTTCATGAAAAAAACGACAGAATATATTGGTATTAAAATAGGTATTGTGACTATATGTACAAAAATGTATTACTGTTCCTCTCCAAGATGTACCTTATGACACTGCTGACAATGAAAATGTATAAAGACATCTTTAATTTAGGATCAACTTTGTAAATCTAACATCACTACTACTGTAATGTCATTCCACAGAACAAAAATAGTTTAATAAATAGACTTCTCTATATACACATATTGAAATGTCAAAACAATGTATATTATTTACACGGGACACAAAAATATCTTTTTCTGCATTCAAAATGTGCAGATTCTATGCAAATCGCATTTGGCACTTCAACAAATAACTTACCAGGTGTAATACTGACTCAACCTAATCATACGTATCAAGAATATGAAAAGGAATACAGTTACATGTACTGCCAAGTTATTACATGTCACAGCCACAAACTGTCACAAGAGCACAAGTGTAGCTTCAGTGCAACCTTCATTTCATCACAAGTGTGCCGACTACAAAGCACATTTCCAAAACTTTGCATCGGTCTGCTGGCACACACATCGGATTACCCTGGGAACAGGGATTTCAATGAATCCAAAAGAGATGAGTTGTTATTGAACGTTGTTCATTGCAGTCTGTAGAGAAATTGTTTACATGCAGTCCACCACATTGCTTGACCCATGGCCAATGTCCCGGATCTGACTACACAGACAGGAGCAGACCGAAACTCCTGCCCCAGCCCTGCAGTGAGCCACAGAGCCAACCAGCTCCCACCTATTTACAATAAAGAGAGGAAACGTTACTGAAAACAGAAAGCATTATATATGGACTTCATAAGTAATTAGGTCACATATGGCAGACTAGGGATATGGTCACATATGGCAGACTAGGGATATGGTCACATATGGCAGACTAGGGATATGGTCACATATGGCAGACTAGGGATATGGAAATAGAACACTGCTTCATAGTCCACACAATCGGGCTTCTGCCTGATATGCCAACCCTACAGACTGGATGAAAAAGGCTTTCAATGCCTTTGTCTGTTCAACAGCATCTACCTATATATCAGTTACTGCTTCACTCCCTATCAAAGATCTGTAACCAGAGCTCAGGCAGATCATTCTGATACATGCAAACCTGTATGGGCAATGAAGACCTTTATTCTCCACTCTACAGGAATGGTACAGTGAGGTCTGGTGCCTGGTTTTATCAAGCCCTGGTGCTAGTGATGGTAATTGTTAGGGATGCACCGATACCAGTGCCATACTTGGCATTTTCATGAGAACTACCAGGGTTGCAGCTGTGACTGGGCTCTGGCGCTCCGCCACTGTCCTGAAATCATTAGTCTGTAATGTTTTAGAAAAACTGTCACAAGTACTGATACATTTTTGTTGTCATGTATCTGCGAGTACTTGGGCAAGTACCAGTACTTGCAAAACTGGTATCTGTGCATCCCTTATATATATTTATGAAACCAAAATTGTACATTAAAACAGAGATGTACAAATCCCAGGAGCTCCGTGTGCTCCTTACAAATGACAGCTGCCTCCTAACTTTTTCTCTAGTCTAGTCTTGGAGCTGGAGAAGTATCTCTACTTGTACCAAGTACTGTACTTGGTATCGGTGCATCCCTAGTAATTGTAATGCTACATACAACGGCAGAATTACCTGTTTATAACTGGGTCATAGCACTCCACTGTATTCAAGTATGCATTTCCATTATGACCTCCAACTGCATATATTTTTCCCATCAGCGTTGCAATGCCAACCCCTCCTCTCGGGGTAGTGAGTTCTGCAACATACTCCCATTTGTTGGAATGAGGATTGTACCTCTCTACAGAACTCAGAGGGGCATTGTCATCAAATCCACCTTCAGGAAACAATCATACATTGTAAACAGTCAAACGTTACTGCGCACAGATCACAAATCTATACCAAATAAAAAAGGGCACATACCTACAGAACGGATGGAAATAAAGAATTAGCATTCTTTAGCCAATTAGATTCTTTACAAGTGTATATATCAAAACAATTCACCCCCACACAGCTACCTCCTCATATATCACTACCCCTCCTCCCTTTTAGACTGTAAGCTCTCACAGGCAGGACCCTCCTTACCATCTTGTCTTGAATTGTAATGTCTTCCTTATACTGTAAAGCGCTGCGCAAACTGTTGACGCTATATAAATCCTAGGTAATCATAATATAAATTCCAGGGTTTCTTTTTGTTTTGTAATATACATTGATTAAAACAGATCAACTTGATCTTACCAACATGTAGTCATTTTTTAAAAGCCTTGTAAATTTGCAGTCATTTATGTACATGGAACCATATTGCTCATTACATGCACAGGCTCAGCTTCCGGCTTTGTAGCAATACACAGGAGCAAGCAGTAAGCTCCTTTTCTCAATGTAAGTCATCAATTTTCCCAACCCTATGTGGAACTTACATTTTCTAGTAGTTAAAGTGACATTAAACCCTCAGATTTTTTAACATAAACCAATACTGTAATGTGTGCCTTACTGTAATACATGGTTGTTTCCCTTCTCTTTGCTGCTCTTCCTTTTATATCTGTATCTCTTCTCCCTCTTGGGGAGAACTTTCCTTTGCAGCTGAGGGCCTCTTCCTGTAGTGCTGGCTCAGGTTGTGAACCTTTACACAGACACCATGTATCCATTTCAGAGACAAGGCAGTCTGCTGCAAAACAGAAGTTCTTCCCAGCATGAGAACAGATACAGATTTAAAAGGATGAGCAGCAAAGAGAAGGGAAACAACCATGGATTACAGTGAGGTACACATTACAGTATTGGTGTATGTTACAAAATCTGAGGGTTTAATGTCACTTTAAGCAAGGAGGCAGAGTCATTGTAGTAGCTAACCTACACACGTACATTTCCCACGCTGCATAGATTAAATATGCACTCACAAAAAGCACACTCGTTTTTCTATTACGCTTATTAAAGTTGCATCACTCTCCTACAAACTTGTTTCAGATGCCAGGCACTATGTAGTCTTTCATGTTAACACTACCGTATGCATTTCAACAATTTGCTGAATAGCTGAACCACAAATACAGTACCTTCATATGGCACATTCATGGTCTGGGGGTTTTTTGTTAACGTTTCCACCCAAAAAACACTTTGTTTTGGATGCATTCCCTATTTATCAGGCAGTACCTGCTAAAAGGTTTACTGGCAACTGTGCTCTGCATGAAAATACACTATATTGACAAACATATTGGGACACCCCTCCAAATCATTGGATTCAGGCGTTCCAATCACCTCCATGACCCCAGGTGTATAAAATCAAGCACTAGGCATGCAGACGCTTCTACAAACATTTGTGAAAGAATGGGTCGCTCTCAGTAAATTCAAGCGTGGTACCGTGATAGGTTGCCACCTGTGCAATAAGTCCAGCCGTGACATTTCCTTGCTACTAAATATACTAAAGTTCATGTGCGTGTGAAGGCAGGCGTCCCGATACTTTTGGCAATAGTGTATTCAATCACCCTCCTATCCATTTTCATCATCAAAAGCCAACATTAAATAATTTTACCCCTCTCATAAAAGCCACTGCCTACTCTCATCCCTCAGATACAAGCCTCTGCTTATTATAACTAAGATTACTCCTCGAGTGCGCAAAGATTTTCTTGCATACCATTTCAAGCAAGGCAACCATGTTATTGAGGAGGAAATACCCCCTCATCTTACAAATAACAAAAAGGTACCTTTAGAAAAAGTTTAGTAATGGCAATATACGAAGGTATACTTTGCAGTCTTTTTATCCTTGGCATGCCTTATTTTTCATTTCCTCCCCATTCATCCTACAGTGGCCCTTTTTACTAAGGGCAGATGAATCCATCTCCCTTTACTTCCTGGAACTCTTGAGTCTGCCTCATGGAACATGTGACAGCGCACATCATCTGGGGGGAGCCTTTCCCCCATGATTTTGTAATATTATGCAATATACAGATAAGATTTTCCATGAGGGCCCTGGTGATGTAGCCTAACCAGGATCTGTGAAGCCAAATCAGCAGTGCCTCACTCACCAGTAAATGGAAGTAAAAGCAAAAAAAAATGTTTAATGACGAAGAAGATGATTTTATTTAATATCAATCTATAAGTATGCAAAGCTGCATGCTGGTGTGATTTTTAGTTAAAGGGGTAAAGGTCAACTTAAGCGGTTTAAATTTCAAACACACTCTTCACACAGGCAGTAACACAAGTAATACAGTCATGGTGGTCTCTTGGCAAACCTGGTGTTACAGCATTCTAACACTATTGGAATTTACCATTATTTATTGTGACGGTTACAGAAGTGACTAAAATAAAATGGCGTCTCCTGCAATGTGCAAATCTTTCCTGTTCACATGCCAATCGTTTCGCAGTCACAATAAAAGTATATATGCCAATATCAGTAGAATGCTCCAGGGCGTCCCTTTCTGTGCTCCAGGAGTGTCTCTGCCTGTGCTTAGTTACTGCTAATCTGCATTGGGTGTCTGAAATACTGCAAGTATACCAGCTCAACACTTACCTACAACATACAGACAGCCATGTAATTCACTCACTCCAGTGCCTGCTCTTCTCTGGCCCATCTCTTTAATGTCTACCCATTTATCCAAATGAGGGTCATACCTCTCCACACTGGAGAGGGAAGCAACACCATCATTACCTCCAACAGCATAGACATGATTCTAAAAACACAAGTAAAAAGGACACTATATGAAATTATAGGAAGTAAATATGGTAAATGCACATCATCATCATCATCATCGTTAGTGGCAGTGTTCGAGAAATTCAAGAAAAAAAATGATTGGTTTAATAAAACCCGCACACCATTCAGTACATCTCTGCAATACATATACATTTCCCATATTTTATACCTTTTTCTGTACTTTCTTTAAACACCTGTTCATCTGCCAGAAATCTAGCGTGCTCCGAAAAGTACTGCGATTGCAATCAGCATTGTCAATTCTTCCAGCTTGACTACAGAACTTTGTCTATCCCCTGCCACTCTCTCCCTTTTTCCATGTTCATATATTAATATTTTCCCTTGCAAAACAATGCTGCTGGCCTCGACTCCCACAAACCTGCACACACTGTATATGGAAAGGGCATTTGGGAGATGTAGTTCTGTTGGGGTGTCTACATCAATAGAAACAGAGCTTCCAGCAGGTGAGCATGCATGCATTTTACAAGCCTGGTGATGTCCTGACATGGAACAATGAAATAGTTTAACTCATAAAATCTTTTTTTCTTGAGTAAATTAAAGCGGACCTTCACTCTTTTTCTACTTAATCCCTCTGGCTCCCTCCCCCTAACCACAAATATGAAAAATCTTGTTTTGGGGGATGGGGAGCATTTACAATCTTTTTATTTTTTATTTTGCCCCAGCCCCTTGCTGCCATTCACACCTAGGTGGGAACGACGTGTCCCTACTCCCGCAGCCTCCTGGGATATGTGCATTACATATCACAGGCTATCCTCCAAGACTGCATACGCAGGGAAACAGTGCAGTGATAGGGGAAGTGGAAGGGGTGGCGGAGAGAACACTGGAGCCCTTAATTGTATATATTGAGGGACACAGGATGTAATTCGGGTGCATAGGGCTAGGCTGCTGACTTCAGGAGATTGCACACTGGCAAACAAACCTGGAAGACAGCCTAGAATAATATAATAACCCCTCCCACCCCATCATGCCTCAGTTTTATAAGAACAGAGGGAGGGGAGGGAGTTGTGTCCCCTAATGTACTCCAAGAAAATTATTTTACAGTAAGTCAAAAAGCCTATTTTCTTATTGTACATTAAAATGGATGCAGGGTATAGGTACATAGAAAACCAGTGAAACTGAGGAAGGTGAGCAACACAGCAAATGCATCAAAAGGCCATTGTGAACAACAGGGCAACATAAGGGGCTCAACAGAGCTGCATGAAGAGCCTTACAAGCAAAGCTGGCATCAGAGGATGCTTGAATATCCACCTAGAAAAACTGAAACGTCTGAACAGAAAATAAGGTGGCAGCCTCGCAAAACTGAAATACTATTGTCCGATGTTGAAAAGTCCATGAAGCACTAACTCATCCAGTGGAGTGCAATTTTACAGGGAAGGGTCGGACCTTGTCCTCAAGTCTGTAGGCTTGAATTAAATGCATGTAGCCGTGGTGCCCTACGCACATGGGCAGACATAACTGCCCTGTGAGACACTAATTTAGATGCCCCTTAAAAGCCAACACAGCATTTGGAAAACAGGGGTGTGAGCTGCATTAGAAGGACTCGCTATAAAAGATGTGATCCATTCAAACATGGTTTCACTAATAAAAGTTGCTGGAGAACTGCTCCAGCTAACAAACTAGGAGGTAAAAAAGGATTCCAGTTGAGCATCAGTAAAGCAGAGACATTATTTCTTTGATTTCTCTTCCACAGAAAGTGGAAACCAATTGTCAAGGAGTTCCCTATACATGGGAAAATACTTATTCACATGGTTGGAGAAAATGCTGATAGCATTGGAAGCTTCCAGTCCTTACTCAAGATTTTTTTTTTTTTTTAGATATGAAGGTATGGGAAAGGTCTTTGCCCCAGCATGAGCTATAGAAGAGTCCACATCTGGGTGGGCAGACTGAACTTCAACAGGCACAGCTGAGCATACTGCAGAAATCAGATTAGATCCAATATTGAGCACATCAGATGCATCATTTACGGTATGAAGGTGCTTCATTTGGGTCAGAAATATGAACAGAATGCACAGGCATACTTAGAGGCAAGGCGCCAGTAGGATCAGAAGTCTGTGTTGACAAAAAATAGCAATAGAAATTTCTGAATGCCTGCGAGGTGATTAATTAGTTCATGAAGTGAAGATAAAAGGCCTTGTAGATTAAATAGAGATAGTAGGCTCAGGTAGGGACGCTATAGGAGATGATGGTGAGAACAAAACCTATAGAAATACGAGTCTCAGGATGAAGACCGACGAATCGTCCTTAGAAGTAGCAGGAAAAAAAATGGGTCTGTCCACTAAATGTTGTTTAAAAGACATACTGCACCTGTAAGTTGTGGATTACTCACAAACCAAAGCGGAGTGAGGTGGAGTGTGGCGCGGGCGGCCAGAGATGAGAAAGTCCTGAAGACAAGCAGTGGAGCAGAATCCACAGTATAACAAAATAGGAGCAGCAACAGCAATATACAGGTGAAACTCGATTAGAATATCGTGCAAAGTTCATTTATTTCACTAATGCAACTTAAAAGGTGAAACTAATATATGAGATAGACTCATTACATGCAAAGCAAGATAATTCAAGCCGTGATTTGTCATAATTGTGATGATTATGGCTTACAGCTCATGAAAACACCAAGAACCCCAAATCCACAACCTCAAAAAAGTAGATTATTACATGCAATCAATAAAACAAGGATTGTACATAGAACAATATCGGACCTCTGAAAAGTACAAGCATGCATATGTACTCAGTACTTGGTTTGGGCCCCTGCTCTAAACTAAGGAGAATGCTCCCTGGCTAACTGACACAGGACACACAGGTCTGAGAAGCACAACATTGTGGAACGCAGCACCCAAAAGGTGGTAACATTTACAAAAGAAATCATCAGCAGAGCCTGGAATAAACAGAGCTGTCCCTCTGCTCTGAACTCTGCATAGCGCTCCATGGTTAAACTGGCCAGTACACACAGGTTTAACGAGTGCCACATGCAGAGCCAAATTGTGTAGATACTACCAACCAAGATATCTGCATCACATTCAGAGGTATACTCACAGGCGGAGACAGCGAGTATACCTCAGAGTATAGCAATACTCTAAATATTGAGAGCACTATGTAGCTAACTGACAGAGAACCACAAGTCTGGAAAGTGGCAAAATATAGAGCCCAGTGGTGGAAGGTCACATTCCAGGACATCTTGCCCCATCAATGGGCAATTCTCAGAGTGAGTGAGACTTCAGAGACTGGGTCACACCAGAGGCTGTGCCAGGCCTCTGGACATGTAAAGTGCTCTGTGGCTAACACACCAGTACGTAACGTGTCCGGGAGTGTCACAAGCAGGCCCAGTGCCCAAGGGTCAAACTAGTACATGCAATCTTCTGTCCAGCAAGGTTCAGGCACAGTCTCCGAACTGGCCAATCCAGATAGCTGCTGTACCAGCTCAAGTAGCAGGTTAGAAGTTTTGTTTGAAGAGAAAAAACATCTTCAGAGTAAGTAGATAGGAGAAGATGAAAAATCATCCAACTCCCAGTACACTAACAAGAAACTGAGGCAAGACGACTGGAGACAAGGTTATCGTTTTGTTTTTTGCCAATGTCCAAACCTTCAGAAGGCATAACCCATATGTTCAAGTATGTCGCCATTTCTGTGTCCCCAATTGGCGATAAAGAATTTAGAAGTAGAATCTGAAAACATAGTATCCTTTTAGTTGTGTTATTAAGACCTGGCATTCCAATGGGCAGCCATAATCTCAACTTCCATGGCAGTCTGTGTGTATGAATGTATGATAGATATATCTATAGTTTATATCTATATCTCTATATACAAGATATAGAGATATAGATATGATATCTCTATATAGAAATATATATCTTAGTGAATGTACATATTGTAGAAGTCTATATAGGTATTAGTGTATACACATGTGAACAATCAAGTTCTTAGGGATCACTACTGGCTATATAATGGCTAGAGAATATTTCTTCCTTACTACCGTAGATCAGGCTCTTTGCCTGTGTTCACATACCATAAGAGCAACTGATCCAACACCTCCTCGAGGTGTATTCATTGGAGCTACAGCAGTCCAGCGATCACATTCCACATCATAGCGCTCTACATTATTAAAGCAAGTGTTGTCATCCAGCCCACCAATGGCATATATTGGGCCACCAAGAGACGACAATGCAATTCCCCTCCTAGTGAAAGGCAGAGAATTATTTATGCACTTGTAGCACAAAACATACCATACATTTTTGTATATCTATACATCTCTCTCTCTATGTACATACACACATATAATAAGAAAAATCAATGTGATTTGTATATTGGGTTTTTCTATATTGGGCTGATAACAAGATTGTTAAGGACAGCAGCATCAATGTGGACACAACATATGCTCAGTGAGTACAGTCTGCATTCTAACAGACTGATTGACTAAAGATGAGAATCCTCACACAGTAAACCCAGTTAATATTCTCTTCAATGTATCAATCTTTCTTTTTTTTTCCACATGGTTGGATAATTAAAGTGTTTGTGTAAAAATTCTCAACTCCTTTAGTAAATCTTCCCTCAAAGAACTGCAGGAATTTTTTTTAAATTAACCCCTAAGGTGCCCATACACTGGCCGAAATCCGGCCGGTTTTTAATGTATTGGACGAAATTCGCACAGTGTGTGGGGCTGTCGGCTCCGTTTCAATTGGCACTCCTTGATCAGCTGATCGAAGGAGCCGCCTGGAAAATTTTCGATCGGTCATAGCTGGCAGCCAATGGGTGGCCCGTTTGGATCGGGTATCCTCGATCGACATGCTGTTTGTGTTGATGGAGGAAGCGAGTACATTTTTTCCCCGTTTAGCCCGCGGGTTGAACAGAAAAAAAATGATTTGTATAGCCAGCCTTACAGTGGGGCTACCCCCACACTTCCAAGGGTTAAAAGGAGAACTATGGAGGTGAGTGAAAATCACGCATCCTCATAGTTAGAGCCGATGTGTGACAATGAAACTGTCACACGTCGGCTCAATAGATCGGGAAGTGAGCGAACATATACCGGCGCTCGCTCACGTCCCTGCAGAGAGCCGTGACTGTCACTCCCTGCTCCCCGCAGGGATTTCCCCCCTCCCCTGTCCGATCCTCCAGCTCTGACTGGCGGATCGGACGGGGCGGGGACAGCTGGCTCTGCCTCTGGATAGGCAGAGACAGCTGTCAATCACGCAGCTGGGTGGATCTCGACAGTAATGTCGGGATCTGTCACGGCAGCGGTGGTCTCAGTGTACCGCAAGCTGTAGCTCGCCTTATACTGAGCTTTGGGTCACGGGAGAACGCTAGTTTGTGTTCTCCCGTGACCCTTAGGAGAACTATGGGGGAACAACACTGACCCCATAGTTCTCCTTTAACTGCTGGCCGGCTTGGAGCTTCAGGTCTGTTATTTTAGAACCTAGACAAAAAACGAGCACTTCTTAAAAAAAATTCCTGGAGCTCTTTCAGTTTTGCCTTTGAAGAAAGATGCCATCAGATACTTGCAAGCAACATTTGTACACCTTCCCACATCATTACTACTGTTCTGTAACAGGCAAGCTTGAAGAAGTGGAATCATATGCCTCCTAGTGGATTTACCAAACAAAATGATATGGCATGAAAAGATGGGGCATTGTATGAAACGGCACTGTGTACACAGCTGTGTTCTCTCAGGAAACTACAAAATCAGTACGCCATCAAAAACAAGCTTTAGTTCTGTCTACAAGCCCAAGGTTATGTGGAATAGGTTTCCTCAATAACAAGACATTAGAAAGAAAAGGAAAAAAAAAGCAAAAAAGGGGTGTAGTAGCGACATGATTGCTGCATGCAGAATTCACCTTGAATTTCATCTCAACAATGCACTGAGCTGAATGAATTTACCGCTCCTACCTACATAAATGAGGCTCGAGGGAAGTTCTTGAAATCATAGGTTGCCCTGAACAGCAATTATAAAGAAGCAGGAGACCAGAAAATGGACGGCCACCAAGTAAAAGCACCTGGGAAGGTAATGAATGTTCTGCAGTACCTTTTCTTATTCATTGATGCCTTTATCACCCATTTATTTGTGAGTGGATCAAACACCTCCATACTACCCAAATGTTCATTACCATCATGGCCACCAACCGCATAGACCTTTCCTGAAAGAGAAGAAAACAAGCAGCTTTATTAGAAACTGATGAACAATATGCCCACAGGTTACCCAGATCTGCAAGAAGAAAGCATAAGCAAGGCACAGGTTCACCTAGTTACATCTAAATGTACTCGCAACACCCAAGTCAAACTTACAACTTTTGCAAAACTTTAAAGAACTCGGGGCAGAATAAAAAAAACGTAACCCTTGCGGTGTGGGGGGTACCCCACTGCAAGGGTTAAGTGCTCGTTTTGGTCTAGTGTCTAAAATAAACATATGCTCACCAAATCCTTGGTCCCACCTGGCTTCTAGACCGGTCCCTGCAGCCTCGTTCCCCCTCGGGCCTGGCAGTGTAAGTACCCATGAGTCACCACGTCCACTACAGTGTACTGGATGCGAGGACACTGAGGGATATTCTATCACCAGAGGGGGAGAGAGGCTGCAGAGACCGGCCCAGAAGCAAGGTGCAGCTGAGGTTTAGGTGAGTATGTGTTTGATATTTTAGACCCTAGACCAAAATGAGCACTTAACCCTTGCCGTGTAGGGGTAGCCCCACTGCAAGGGTTAAGTCTAATTCTGCCCGGAGTTCTTCCTTTACAGTAAGTGATCTTTCCCCTACTTAATCTCAGTCAATGACTGCAGATTACTATGAAACAGCTGCAATTATTTTCAAATTACATCTATAGCCAACTGTATTTAGGGGGATTTTAACTACCGTATTTTTCGCTCCATAAGACGCACTTTTTTCCCCCCAAAAGGAGGGGGAAAATGTGCCTGCGTCTTATGGAGCGAATCCCGACGCCCGAGACATGCAGTTTCGGGCGCCGGGCGAGTAGTAGGAGCCACTGCTCGTTTAATACGAGTGATCTAATGAGATCACTCGTATTAAAACCGAGCAGCGGCGACGATCGAGATTACCATAGAGCAGACGAAGAACGGACTTTCTTCGTCTGCTCTGTGTGATCACTGAGACTGTGGCGCAGTAATCACAGCGCCACCTATCTCAGCGGTCACTAACTGCAGCTTCTGTCACAGCTTCTGTCATAGAAGCTGTGACAGAAGCTACAGTCTGTCGAGTGCTCCATAAGGCGCGCCGGACCTCCCTGCGTCCTATGGTCCGGTGCGTCTTATGGACCACAAAATACGGTATTTAACGCTGTATAAATAATGACCTCTCCGTCTTGCTGGAAGACTTTCCTTCACCTACTGTTCTAATGACAACCATAGGGGGCCGATCCAGACACCCAAATCTTCTACCGACCTCCCTCCCACAGAGCCGACACCCAGATCTTCTACCGACCTCCCTCCCACAGAGCCGACACCCAGATCTTCTACCGACCTCCCTCCCACAGAGCCGACACCCAGATCTTCTACTGACCTCCCTCCCACAGAGATGACACCCAGATCTTCTACTGAACCCCCACAGAGATGCCACCCAGATCTTCTTCTGACCTACCTCCGACAGGAGATGACACCCAGATCTTCTACTGACCTCCCACAGAGCTGACACCCAGATCTTCTACTGACCTCCCACAGAGCTGACACCCAGATCTTCTACTGACCTCCCACAGAGCTGACACCCAGATCTTCTACTGACCTCCCTCCCACAGAGATGACACCCAGATCTTCTACTGACCTCCCACAGAGCTGAAACCCAGATATTCTACTGACCTCCCACAGAGCCGACACCCAGATATTCTACTGACCTCCCACAGAGCTGACACCCAGATATTCTACTGACCTCCCACAGAGATGACACCCACATGTCTTCTTCGACTGTTCATTTCTGGCCCAAAGAACCAGCTGTTTTTGCTTACAGAGTAGCATTCAATACTACGAAATGGGTCTCCTGAGCCTCCTCTTCCTCCCACACAGAACAAGACACCTGAGGGGGAAAAATTGTTGCAATTACAAATGTTTAGGCATTCTCATGTTTATTTATTTTGCTTGTATTGGTATGACACAAAAAAGTGGAGAAAAAAAAAAGCCAAACCTGACACATTCCACAAAACTCCAAAAATGGACTGGACAAAATTATTGGCACCCTCAATTAATATTTGGTAGCCCAGCCCTTGTAAAAAATTACTGAAATCAAATCGCTTCCTGTAACCATCAATGAGTTTCTTACACCTCTCTACAGGAATTTTGGAGCACTCTTTCACCAACAGAGCAGCAGTAGATATATGCAATAAGACGTGAGGGTTTAATAACCCTTCATTTATTTACAAACAGTGATCACTGAGTGTTTGTACCCGCTCTCCATCCTCACACGCTGTCACAGGAAGCTGGGCGAGAGCTCAGCCTCCTGTGACAGCAATGGCTGTCTCCGTCCCCACACCGCTCTCCTAAACTGTGACAGGAGGGTGAGCGGTGTGGAAGGAGAGACACCGGCTGGCCACATCGCTCTTCTCCCACAGCGATCGGCCTTCTGTGACAGTTTTTCTCCTCCCCGCTAGGACACAGAGCAGCGCCCAGAGAGGAGGAGAGAAATCACGGATGCACTGCTATTTCGACCCAAAAAAATTTCACTTTCAGGAATTTACCAAAAGTGCCAATTTTCAGCCGATATGTCAGTGCATCCCTAATACATACACACACAGTACTGTGCAAAAAAACAAATGCTGCAAAGTAAGAATGCTTTGAGAAATAAAAGTTTGTTTATTTTTATCAATTAACAAAATGGAAAGTAAATGAACAGAAGAGGAATCCAAATCAATTTGGTGTCACCACCCTTTGCCTTCAAAACAGCATCAATTCTTGCACACAGTGTTCGAAGGAACTCGGCAGGTAGGTTGTTCCAAACATCTTGGATAGAAAGGAAAAAAGAAACTTACAGGAGGCTGAGCGGGGCAGTGAGGAGAGCACCGTCAGCGGTGGTGTCTGCTCCAGCACAGCCTCCTGTGACAGGCAAGGTCAGGATGGAGAGCAGTTAAATAATTGAGGCCATAGTATGTTTACGTTGTCCCCAATTATGACCAGGCAGTGCTCAGCATCACTTCCTGTTCATTCATGGATTGTGGACATTAGTAACTCCTACTATATCCATAGGTTATGAATGAACAGGAACACTCAGTATAGAGAATTCCTCTTCATTTATAACAGGGCTGCAGAATAAGAGATTTGAAATAGGAAAAGAGATCGAGGACTCTGTGTCCTCAATCTCTTTTCCTATTTCTAAAGGGAAATATCAGGGGTCTGTTTTAGGAGCCCCCGACAGTAAAGTAAAAAAATTAAAATATGAAAGTTATTTTAAAAAGGTTAGAAAACAAAAGAATTTCCAGTGTGGGTATGACAAATTTTTTCGTTTCGGTCTTAAAATTCCATCCATATCCACACGCATATTTTAACATACATTATCCACAAACCCACACACCCCCAGTTTACACATACACGGCTAACTCACTGTCAAAGTCACCAACCAATCCAGAACAAGCCCGTGAGGGCTTAGAATCTAAGAGGGAGGGGCAAGTGATACATGAGGAGGGAGCTGTGTGGGCATGAATTGTTTGAGAACGTGATGGTTCAGTGGTTAGGTTGAAGTGTGATCGGTTTCCCTAAAGAGCTGAGGCTTTAGTGATCGCCAAAAGACAGTCAGTCAGAGTGGGAGAAAGACAGACCGGTTGGGGTAAAGAGTTCCAAAGAATGGGAGAGACTCTAAAGAAGTCCTGGAGGCCAGCATGGGAGGAGTTGACGAGGGAGCTAGAGAGCAGAAGGTCTTGGGAGGAGCGGAGGGAACGGTTAGGGTGATACTTGGAGACAAGGTTGGAGTAACCTTAATTTTTATTCTGCCTGAAGTTGTTCTCCCCCTGGCTGCAGATCACCCAGAGTAAATAAGGAGCCGACAGATCCACGAGCCAAACTTTTTCCCCTCTGGAGAACTCATGGTGAATGTGGTCTACTGCATTAGTCTATAACTGGATTTACAGTACTCTGTGGAGTGCCACTTTAATTACAAGTATTAAAAAGGAGAACTATGAGGTGAGTGAAAATCACTCAGCATCATAATATGAGCATACCGGCGTTCGCTCACTTCTCGATCTATCCGTGAAGAGAGCTGTGACTATCACTGACAGCTCCCTGCAGGGATTCCCCCCCTCTCCCCTGTGAGATCCTCCAGCGCTGACTGGCAAAACTGAATGGGGCGGGCACAGCTGGCTCTGCCTCTGTATAGGCAGAGCCAGCTGTCACTCACGCAGCTGGGTGGATCCAGACAGTAATGTCGGGATCCGTCCCGGCTGTGGAGTCTCAGTATTCCGTGAGCTGTAGTTCGCGGTATACTGAGCCTAGGGTGACGGGAGGACGCTAGTTTGTGTCCTCCCGTTACCCTTAGGAGAACTATGGGGAAAAGCCCTGACCCCATAGTTCTCCTTTAAGCAACTCAATGAGAATCCCTTTTCTGCTGAAAGCTCAGCAAAGCATTGTTTATTCATACTGAAAAGACCTATTCTCTTAAAAAGGTCAGTGTGACATCAATCCTAAAGAAAAAAAACAAAAACCTACTTATAACAAAACAGTGTCAAGTCTGTTTCCTACAACTGCTGAGCTTATCAGTTTTACTTGTAGCAGTCTTTGACTATTGGCAGCAAGAACAGCTCAGGATTTTCTACTGTTGGCACAGGATGGGGAGGGATATTTCAGCTTACGGTAGATTCTGGAGAGTTGAACCAACCGAGACCAGGCAGAGGTGCTGTTTTAGTGTTAAGGAAGGAAAATCACACAGAATGCATGGAATAATGAATCGGACAAGGTTCCCCTATTTTACAATGTTGGAACATGACCTGTGGTCAGAGCTTGGTTGGTGAAAAATGTCACAGCGCAGCAATTTAATGCTACCTTGAAAGTAAAAGTATCAACAAGAAACATAACAATGCCTCCAGACTTTTGAACCCTAATGTGTATGTATACAGTATATGAAATGGATTTGACTGGTACTCCCCCAGAACTACGTTCAGGCCTTACTTAGATAAACCCTTAGTACGATTGATGCTGTTCATTTAGATACGTTCTCAACCCCTATAGATTCTCTGCAGTGTGACCAGGATTGGAGAGCACAGATTTTTCTTCCCAGGGCCTTGGCCTAAAAAGGAACCAATAACCAGGGATTATTAAGGCAGAAAGGACTCAAACATCCCAGTGGAGGAAAGAAAAAGTATCAAGTGCACAGAAAATTCCCTAAGCACAAGTCCCCCAACTGAAAGGGTACAGGTAGGAAGGCATTGAAACCGATAAAAATAACCAGCAATCTGATCCCCCTGATCTGAAGATGCCACAGCTGCAGCAGAGTCTGACAGCATGGCGAGAGGAAGCACCAGGTTTGTCAGTCCAATAAATGCCACAGGGTACAGGAAACTCCACCCAGGCTCCGGTCCCCTCCTCCAATGTGCCCACCTGACCAGTGTGGAAACCAGTGTCAGGTATTCTTTAGTTTTGCCTCATAAGGAAAGAACCGTGAATTAAAAAAAAAAAAAAAAGCAAAGTCCCTGCCTCTCCCCTCTGGTCCCAACATGGCCACCGAATCCAAAATGGCTGCCCAAGCCGGAAGCGGCAGTCAGTAGAACATTGGCAGGGAGACGTTCCTGGGGGACGCTTCCGTACCTACCCAGCTCGGCCATCCTAACAAGGTAAGACAAAGCTCCAGACCTCAAAAAAGGTCACAGGTACCCAGGGGGGCAAAGAGAAGCCCTAGAAAGGAGGGTGGATCAAAAACACGGGCTACATTTCTTCCTAGCCCACCAATGTGGGCTAGGAGATATCACAGAGGGGGCTCCAGCAGACAGTGTCCTCAGGGTACGGCTGCTCCTCCTGCATTCTAAAGCAAAGGCAAGGCTGTAGCCCAGGGCAAGCTCCAATAGAGCCACAACACCAGGGAGGATAGTTGCCTATCCAAGGAAAGGACAGTGGGGGTGCTGTTCTGGGAAGAGAGGGACCCAAGAGCCTGGAGGCCCCTGCAAATAGAACACAGGTCTAATCGGGAAAAAAACAAAAAGAGAAAAAACAAACGTTGCAATGCTCTCGTTAGGCCGGAAGAAACACAAAATAACTGAGGTGCCTTAGGACTTGTGTTCTTTTATTATGTGGATGATGTGTTTCGAGCCTCTCTTTCATATGCTTTTTCTGAAAGATGACTTGGGAGAAGGAGATTAGAAATTTATGTGGATTTTTGCTCCAGTTCAACCAAAGGGCTATTTTTTGGAAATCTTTAACATATGCAAAAGCATGTAATCAGAGGTCTAGGAGAAGCGATGACTAGCTGTCACTAGCTGAAACAACAACAACATCCAAAGTCTACACTGACCAGAACTTAAGCTGCCTGCCCTTCACATGCAGACAAAACTGAGAGGAAGTATTATTTAGAGGATTTATATCACGCAATCTTACATTTTGTAAGAAAGTGCAGAGATCCTTAAAGTGGATCTAGAAGCATTGAATCCAGACATAATTGTCGGGATCCGTTTCAGCTGCGGCATCTCAGTATACCGCGAGCTGTAGCTTGCGGTATACTGAGGTTAGGGTGACGGGAGGACGCTAATTTGGGTCCTCCCGTTACCCTTAGGAGAACTATGGGGAAAAGCCCTAACCCCATAGTTCTCCTTTAGGAAGACTTCTCAATGTAATGATGCTTTTCTGAAAAATGTTGCTATTGCTGTATATTGGGACGTGTCAGAAATGTCATCATGCAGGTTTGTAAAGTTACTTAAAAAGGTCAATTTTAAGAGGGTATAAAGTCCGAAAGCACCACTAAAATCTAGCAATCTGCAGATAGAACATCTATAGGCAACTTAAGAAAATGTCACGTAACCTGGTGAATCTTTTAAGGATACCAAAAAACCAAATGTCCTCCTTACCGGCAGTCTGTTTCCTGGGTTTAGTGCGGATTGTATAGTCAAAGTCAAGGAGAGCCCGGCTGCTTTGGTGCAGGTGATAGTTCCTTGCTTCATCCAGTAGATCTCTGCATTTCAAGTCCTTTCTGATTATCTGCTCTTTGGCCACAACAGACATCAAAAATTCAACAGGTAACAATGGCAGTCGAACCTGGAAAAAGAAACCAAATGACATAAATCTTCAGGGTTTACAACATGTAAGAGGGAACCTTAAAAAGAGGAACTCCAGGAAGCACTATTTATAGCTAAACTGTCACCTTAAGCACTTCTTTGAGACAGCTCATCTCCCTTTGTTCCCCCTTCCCAACAGTTAGGCAAGAACATACACCGAGTGGCCAGATTATTATGACCACCCCATCAGTACTTAGTTGGGCCACGAGATGACTCCACGAGATGACTTGGTTGGGCCGCCTCGTGACTCCACGAGATGATGAAAGGTGATGCGAGGAATCTGACACTGCACTGTTGCCCTTCTGTTGTCTTGTACCAGTCTTGCCACTCCCCATTCTGCCCTAACAGATAAGATATGGGTAAACAATGGTCTGGCCCTCTAGCAACTTCAGAGCGAAATTATAGCTAACTTGCCTACAAACGTCAGGTGGTCATAACAAACTGGCCACTCAGTGTATGTTGCCATTACAACATGAAACCATAATCAACAGAGCAAACGTTCATTGAAGCCAGCCTATTGATTATGGATCCATGGTGCGCTTATCGATGTGTTGACACCAGCCAATCCAGCTAACAGTTGCTACAGCACCCTCTTATATTGAGAGATAACCATCCCAGCTGCAGCTCAGCAGCTATCAGTCCATCAAATTTGTAATGTAAAATACAGTACAGAAAAATGTTGAGGGGACTGGCTCTGTGCCTTGTGAATCGCTATGATTATCACAGCAATCACATGGCAATGTTTACATTGCCTAGCGCTCCCCCCCTCTTACAACAGGGACAGTGGAAAGAAAAGGAACTAATGAATAAGTCTCTCACTCATTACTTCCTAGTGAAAACAAGCTGCAGTAGCAACACCTAGCGAAAAAAGCTGCAGTAGCAGCAAATTATAGTAAAGTTAACAATTTGTATCCCTTTTACCCCCTCTCCTGTATATGTTGGCTCCATTCTATCTCTGCTCTAAACTGGATAATAACCCCCTCCTCTTGTCCTGCACATCTGTACACTAAACCCTTCACCTTCATCCTCCCACTGTATGTGACCTGTACATGAACCTCTTCACCTCCCTCTTGTATGACCTGTACATTTATTGTCATCTTGTGCACCATTTAAAAGCTCCACATTTTAACCCCCTCAATACCAGCATGTTTTTTCATTTCCAAAAAAGCACACATAAAACAAGTCAGATCATCTTGGGGTATCTACTTTCCAAAAAAAGGGTCATTTTGGGGGTTTTCATACTCTCCTGGCATTTCTATTTGCTATGTTTTGTAGCAGCAGTAGGGGAAACTTTTTTTCCTTCAATTTGTTTTGGTCTTTTTTTCATTGATATAGTTAAAACATAAAGAGGTGATTAAATACCATGAAAAGAAAGCTCCATCTCAGAATATGATATAAAAATAATTTGGGTACAGTGCGACATAGTAATTCTCAAACATTCACAGCACTGAAAACTAGCCTGGTAATAGAAGGGGGTTTAACGTGCCAGTACTGAAGTGAAGTGGTTACATTATTGCTTTATCAGAAGCAGAAGTGCAAATGTCCACCTTCGTGGGATACCAGTTTCCCAACGTCCAGTTGATCAATAAATGGGGTACCTGAGACAGTATTTCGTTCAGCCATGCTTCATGGTGCTGGGGGTTGGCATGAAGCCACTTTATGGCTGCATTGTAGACCTGTTTTTCAGTCTCAATATTAAGATCTTCAGAAGACAACAACTTATACAGATGCTGAGGAGACATGCTGGCAAAGTCATCGCAATCTACCACTTCTGCAAAATGGTCACAAGCAAAGCGGTCTGCCATGTCCATCAAATCTACTCTGTTGTGGCTCTCTGCAAAAGCCCTCACAGCCAGGCAGTTAGAGGGATGAAAATGCAGCTTCATGTATTCACAGCAGGCCTTGGCAACAAGTTCCACTTGGAGAATGCAGGCCGCATACAGAAGCGGCTGGACGTTATCAACTGTGAGGGTCACTCGGGATGAATAAGCAAACTTCACCAAATCTTCAAACGCATCACCATCAAAGTCCCGGATCTCGATGACTGTTTGTTTTGCCTCTGCCATATCAGAAAGGAACATGGCACGGAAATAGGGTATCACGCATGCCAAGACAAGCTTGTGGCAGGGGATCAACTTTGAACCAACCTTTGAAAAAACAAAATTTGGTAGTATTAAACTATCAAACTTTTTTCAATAATGACATTATTGACAATATACATTGCCCAGTAAAGTATTTCTTTACATTTTTTCAAAAACAATTAGTCATTGTGTTTCTGAACAGTTCCATCTCTCTCTGCTTGGAGCAGAGAAGCAATGGAGTGGCTTGTCCTGCTGTGTCTGTGTAGACACACAGCTTGCTAGCACACAAAAGGAAAGGAGCCACCCAAAACAGAATATCAGGGCCAGTGCTCAGGGGACCAGCTGATTCTGCAGGACATTTTTAAACATCAAGAAGCAGGTTTTATTTTAAATGATTTCATCAGCATTTCAAATAGCTGAAAAAACCATTTGACTTTAATATCACTTTAATTAGTTACTATTAACATCTAAAAAAAAAAATCCCCTTTCCTGCAAGAAATATGCGTTCTCACAACCGGTAATCTGGTGTGTAATACATAACACTAGAACCATAAGTAAACAGCATCTGGCTTCAGCGAAATATTAGGGGCCTAAACAGACCCCTGACATTTCCCTTTTGAAATAGAAAAATAAATTGACAGAGTCCTCAATCTCTTTTTCTGCAGCCTCTGTTCTAAATGAATGGAAAGCACTCAGTGCAGAGGCTTCCCATTAATGCAGAATCTGTTGATAGCAGATTATTATTTATTATCAATAGGTTCTGAATGGGGAGAAGCCTCTGTAGTGAGTGCTTCTCCCCATTGAGAAAGTCATGAATGAACAGGAAGTGATGTAAAGCACTTCCTGTTCATTTATAACTGGAGACACAGTACTATGTGTCCCCAGTTATTTACAAACATTGGAGTAATCAGCTGATCACTAGAGTGTTTTTCCTTCACACAGAGCATCGGTAAATATCACAGGTATTTACCGATCGTCCGCTTGGCCACGCACACAGCCGCTGTCATCCTAAAACTGACCGGATGATAGCAGCTCCACTCTCCTGCCCGCGATCAAGTGGCTCCATCCTCCGCCCCAGCCGGCCATTTCTCCTCAGATCCACGCTGCCTCAGCCCATACAAGCGGGGGAGAGCAGGGGGGAGATCGATGGATAGACAGATCCCTGAGCGGCTCCAGGCAGGGAGGAGATGATTCAGATGCCGGCAGCCGGGGGGCGCCCGGGATTTTTGTTAATAGCTGTCGTCAGCCACTGATGACAGCTATTAATTTAAAGGAGAACCGTTCTAATACAAGTTCATGGTCGCTAAACGGTAGAACGCTAAACTTGTAGTAGAATGTTAAATGCCACCACGTACTGACGTGGCAGGCTGGGAACATTTTTCTTCCACCGTATGCCTTACGTCGGTGGCAGGGAAGGGGTTAAATGAGGTTCGGAATAGATCTATCTTGTGTCCAGTGACAGTGACCTATTCCAAACCACATGTAATCATATTATATATGATTAAATGCAGACTGCCGGCTACAGATGGAGCCACTGTCACCTGGTCATTTACTTGAATGGGTACAGCGGCCGCAATCCGAAAGGGGACACCAGGAATGCCAGATTGCCCCATGTAAATGTGTCCTAAATCGAGGAATCAGCAAACACACACTTCCTACCCTTTAGGCACAATGTGCATATTTCTGTAAATTAAAGCTAGATACATTTTATTCAATCGAAAGCTTACCAATGAAAATGACACAGCATATTTTAACATAAAAACAAACATAATTTATCAAAGTGTACAATAGACGCATTCAGTAGAATTTACTACAACGGGCTGGAAGAGATCTCAAGCAGAACAGTAGCAGGCTAATTGGTTGAGATAAATTTGCCATCATCTCACAGCTTTTTTGCAAATCCTTCTCATCTAGCATTTAGAAATACCACTGCAATACCCTGGAGTTCAACCTACAGGTGAAACTCGTGGAGTACAACAAATCCCAGCAATAATACATTATACAGCACAATGCCGAACACCACCAGCTATAGAGGACTACAAAACCCAGCAATAGTACATTATACAGCGCAATGCAGAATACCGCCACCTATAATGCATTATTGCTGGGTTTTGTAGTCCTCTATAGCCGGTGCCATTCTGCATTCATTCAATTTTACACTTTTAATTTCACTATATTTTACTTCCACCGTTCCAAGTTTGCTCCTGTGATGGACGACAATCGCAATACAAACTAGCAGTCCCATCAATGGAGCCGTTTTTTTAAACTTTAATTTTAATTTTCTATCCGATTAAATCGAACTTAATAATCGGCTAACTAATCGATTTTGAAAATAATCGTTAGCTGCAGCTCTACTTACTGCAATTACTTTTTCACGATATTCTAATTATTCGAGTTTCACCTGTATGGCCCAAGGCCCACATGGGACCCTTTGCAAATTTAGTGCGCCCATTCTCACTACTGGAGTCTCAAAGGAGAATTAATGGCAATAATCTATAGCAGTCTGCTGCAACAGGTTTCCAGTCTCTAACCACACCTGTAGCATGCCCATAGCCCGACCATGATTTCTTCTAGTACAGTGGTAGGCAACCTTGAAACTACAGCTGTTGCGGACCTACATGTCCCACATGGCATTGCAAGACTGGCAGCCACAGGCATTAACAGGATTTGTAGTTGCACTACTGTACAGCTAGAGTGCCAAGGTTGCCTATCCCTGCTCTAGTATGTCTTGGGTGCTTTCCAGCACTGTAGCCGAGGTACTCTATAGCTCAGAAGTTAAAAACCACTGGTCTAAAACATACCGTTGACAATGGGCTCCTGTTTAAAAACACACACACAAAAAAAAAAAAAGTTTGAGAGATGAGACCATAAAGACAATAGAAGAAAAAACCCAGAAATTGGCCTTTCGGTGATGAACACTTACTGGCAATTCAGAGCCATGCAGGTTATCGTGAGAAGGTTATTATAGCCTGCATGTCACCAAGGGTTAGATTCAAGAACTAGAACTGTTAATAAGTGATTATAACTCTGGGTTTCACATTAAGTAAATAACTTGGAGCGCATGGCTAGTTTTCTGAAATCACTGTAATCCCACCTCGGGTGGGAGGAGTAAAAACACACAAAAAAAACCAAAAACAACCTTTACCTTGCGGTAGAAATGGAAGGCATAAAAAAAAATATAAGCTTACTGTTCCAACATTTCTCACAGCTGAACATGCAAATGAACACAAATTCCCAATTTTAGCAGGACTTGCATGTTTGTTTGTTTTTACCTCTAAAAAGGTTTTATATTTTGTTTTTTTCAAAATAAGCAGACAGACGAACTATAAGATAACCAAAAGTGAATTCAGACTAGCTCAGTGAAAATACCATACATGAAAAGGCGTACCAAAGAGAGAGGATGCTGCTCTGCCAAAGCTCATGATAACACACACACACACACACACTGTCTACCAAGTGTGCGCATCTGTATCACAGAACAGCTTTGTAATTAAAAAATAAAATACACATTTGTAGGGTTTTATGGGTGACACACACACACACACACACACTTCTGTTCGTGAACAGGAAGTTCTACAAAATTTTGCTTCCGTTCATGAACTCTGCATCAGGAGACAAACATAACCTCAGCCATCTTCCCTGCACTGATACTGGTCATGGCTTCCTCTAGTCGAGATCACGGTCTGATCACAGTTTAATTCGGTTCGTGTCTAGAATCGTGGAACGAATTAAGTTCGTGAACCGAGGTACCAGTGTGTGTGCTGGCTGGCGAGTGTGCTGGGAAAGCTTTTTGTTGTTTGATCTGTATTAGGCACTTCCACGTGCACCCTGCTGTAAAGCTGGTAACGAATTGATGAGTGCGTTTGCCAATTGTTTTGCTTGACTGATATGGTGCAGTGACGCATTGGGGGGGGTCTCAGCTGCCTTGTGATATGCGGGATCCCTTGTGCGTCCCTGTGCCATTAAGGAGGTTGGGCTTCCTCCTGACAAACCTGCACCCAATTTGATCTGTTGCCATGTGTGTTCCAAGATGGAGACTCTCATAGGTTAGAGTTAGCACCGCACTACACAGAGGGGCCTTGACGTGGCTGTGCGGCTTTCACATATACTGCAGACGTGTATTTAAACCTCTGTTTTTAACCTTAGTGGTTAGACAGATTTTTTTTGCATGCTGGCTGGCGAGTTTCGTGGGAAAACGTTTTGCTGTTTGTATACACACACACAGCTAAATTTGGGCCTCCCAGAAGCTTTTCACCATAGTGTGCTAGTATGCACAGCATATTTACACATTATGGCATGCTTACCCAGCAAAGCGATCCCTTCCAGCACTGTAATGTACACACTCCCCTCCATGGCTGGACCTTCAAATCGGTCTTCTTTTATATGGAGTCTTTGGCCAGCATGTTGTCATCACAGCTGGCGGTATACCGAGACCACCGCAGCCGGGACGGATCCCGACATTGTCGAAATCCACCCAGCTGCGTGATTGACAGCTGGCTCTGCCAATCTAGAGGCAGAGCCAGCTGTACCTGCCCCCTCCCGTTCCACCAGTCAGCGCTGGAGGATCGGAGGGAATCCCTGCAGGGAGCCAAGAGTGACAGCCACGGCTCTCTGCAGGGACAGGATCGAGAAGTGAGCGAGTGACGTATGTGTTTGCTCACTTCCTGATCTATTGAGCCAATGTGTGACACTTTCATTGTCACAAGTCAGCTCGCACTATGAGGCTGAGAGAAAATCACTCACCTCATAGTTCTCCTTTAAACACGCAGAACTAAAGTGAGCAAATAGATCTCTATATAATCTCCCATAGGGAATTACTCGCATAGATGGAGTCTACATTAACCGATCATTTTAAACAAATATCCGTACAGCTAGACCTAATACCTGCATTTCAAAAATGCTCACAATGATTTGGACACAGGATTTTAATATATCACACTGTGGGACGATTGAATACCGTTTGTGAGCATTTTTGCAATGCATGTATTAAGAGTCTAGCTGTACGGATATTTTTTTTTAATTATTGATCGGTTAATGTAGACTCCATATATGCGAGTTATTAATGCAGCCACCATATCTAAGGACTGATAAAGCTGCAATATATTGGTTTTGATCCTGGGTTGAGCTATGCTTTAAGACCAATGTTCACATCTTTGTGTAATAATATTTCTTGCTTATCAGCCTAAATCTGTTTTGTCATGGCATACATAGCCTCTGCTAGCTGACGATGAACTATTTACATTTGTCATGGTATGCGTTTTAAATTGCTCTCTGTAAACAGTCCACCTCCCTCTCATAGTGCTTGCTGTACAGCTGACATGCTGCACAATCGATACGCCACTTGGCAGAACAAGGTTCGGTTTTCTGCCTCGTGGATTGGATGCTAACACTGGCCACTCCCTCCAGGCGAGCCCACGTATAGCCCTCTTATGATTGGTCCAGCGCCTTGACGGGCTGTCAGTTACAGGACAGGGCGCAATGTCTTTAGTTACGGAGGACTCGTTACACAAACCCTGTAACAGCTGCGGTCTAAACCGACAGGGCTCCCGCACACTTGCCGATTGGCCAGTCACTACTATATCTAGCACATGGGACGGAGGAGGTCTGTATCTGATGAAGGGGGCGTGACCCCGGAAACGCATCATCATACAGCACACAGTCTCCTGCTGACACATAGACACGGCTGTGCAGCTCTCATAGACTTCACCTTGGGTCCATGGACTTAACATATATCTTTTATACTTCTATCATGAATTTTGTGAGTATGTTTTATATGTTTCTTCAATTCTGATCTTATTAAATTTGTCTGCACCAGGAAAGGCGCCCCTTGTTTGTGTTTTTTCCCTAGCATTTTAGAAACTATTTAACTTTCTTCAACTATGCGGTTTAATATTAAAACACATTTAATGTGAAACAGCAGGTTGAGAAAGCCACTTTCGGCGGTCACTGGTAAATTATACATACATAAAAGGTAAATATAAAATGGTACCACTCTGAACCAACGTCCCCAACTCTTCCAGGAAAATAAAATGACATTCTTACAACTATGATTCACGGGTGATAAATAACCAAGGATACAATAAAAGTCAGAAATTCTAAGTGGCACACCAAGTCTGTTAGAGACTTCTGCAAATTTGCACAGGTTGTGCTGAAGAGCACCTGTCATGTACACACAAGGAAAAGCACCAATCATGCACTGTTAAATAAGTGTCCTTTACCCCTTTCACTATACAGGTGAAACTCGAATAATTAGAATATCGTGCAAAAGTAATTTTCTTAAATGTGCATTTAGTGCACCTCTAATATTTTTATTTGCTTACAATTATCATTTTTCCACTTCCTGGTACCCTTAGGCATTAGTGATGCAGCCCATGCCTAAGAGATGCCTCCTGGGAAGACAAGATCACAGTGCACTGCTGGGAAATCTTATCTGTAAACTACAAAGTCTCACAAGATCTCAGAGAAATGCATTTTTGTTTCCCCTGAGATGATGTGCATGGTCACGTGTCCTAGTCACATGTGCCAGAGTTCCAGGAAGTAAAATGAGATAACTGCCCTCAGTAAAAATGGCCACTGTGGAGAAGAATGAGGAGGAAAAGAAATAAGGTATGCAAAGAATACAAAGCCGGCAATTATCTAGAAGTATCCATTTGTAGATTGTCATTACTAAACATTTCTGAAGGTGTGTTTGTTGCCATTTTACAGATATAGGTAAAGTTTCCCTCCAACAGAACCCTGTAAAACGCCTTGTGTAGCAAAAAGGTTGGACAAAGCAACATCCAGGCAAACAAGAGGCTCCATTTTAATAGTAAAATCGCAGAGGCACAGCTATCATGTGTAGGGCCCGGAATTATGGACAGAATAAAAAAAGATAATACCAAAGATATTGAAAAGATATTGTGTGTGCCGGGGGGGGGGGGTCACACACAGAAATGAAGACCTGATAAAAGTTATGGCCCTGTTCCACTGTGCCCACCCCCACAACAGGATTTTTTTACTTGCCTTAAAATACATATTTTAGTTCATTAAGAACTCCTATGAAATGGATTTTATGGCAAGTACAAAAGTCTTCCAGAGGATCTCTGCAACTGAGTTTGGTATTGTACCTAGGGGCCAGAAGATCCGCATTTGAAACACAGGGTCTGAAACAACTCCGGGTGTAGGTGTTATGCCTGCCACACCCCGTGTGGTCAAAAGCAGCAGACTGATGAGCTCATCTCTCTGCTCTCTCCTATCAGCAAGATCCTTGTTATCACATGAGCACTGCAGAACAGCTAAATGGGTTTTTGTGCTGCTTCACCCTCCCCCAGTCTGAGTTTTGCACTACAGGGCCTGCAAGAAGCTGATAGCAAATCAAATTCAGGTACTTACACTGACCTTGCATTTTTTTTTTTTTTTTAAACAGTGCCGCGTTAATTTGTCTTTTATAGCAGCCTGGAGCTTGGCTTAAAACTAACAAAACATGTTTAAATAAATCCCTTCCTTAGGTTAGCCTGCCAAGGGCTAGGAAAGGTTTATTGTGGGCTGAAGGCATGGGCCCCCCCCACATGCACACTCTGCGCAAAACAGTTCGAGCTACTTGGTATTTTCTCTTTTTTTAAGTGATGCAATAACCCATAGAACGGGGAGGAGATGGGTGAACGGACGTTCACCGGTCTCCTTCCCAGCTTCCCACTGACACCCAAGAAGCCGGTCCTGGGCCCGTAGGAGGGGCAGCAGAGCCCAGCGGGGGATGTCGGGTGGGCGACCCGTTTACCGGTTCGTAGAAGCGATCTGGCAGCAGCTAAGCCGCCAGAATCGATTCTACTGTAAAGCCGGCCACCGGCTCTACAATTATGAACGGAGTACCAGCGAGTCCGTTTAACCCTTCAGAATTCATGACGGGATTATCCCGTCGTGCAGGGGTTAATGCCACTTATCTGGGTATCATGTAACTGGCAATAAACTTATAAAGCCAAGTCCTGTAAATACTTCTACTTGACTCTGGTTAAATGATCAAACCTCTGCTCCTGTAAGGAAAACCCCTCCATTTTGTTAGTTAACATACAAAAACTCAAGCATTGAGCAAAGTAGTCAAACTTACTTTAAGAGTGACGTCACACAACTCACCCACTTCATAGAAATGGAGAAGGGAGCTGTGAAATTCCTTCCAGGCGTCGTCTGCTTCAAAGACAAAGGTGCCATCACCATCTCCATCACTTGTGAAGGACTTGTCCTGAGAAACGTTCCTTCTCCCTTTGGTTTGCTGTGGTTTGGTTGGGCCAGGGTGCATAGATTCCGATGCCATTAGCAGCATGAGTAAGTCCCAGTACAGAAGCCTTCATTTCAATGTTGCCATTTTGCGAACCTGATGTAATCAAAACAAGCAGTCAGTAGAGCATTCCGCAAATGTGATCATTACTACAATAAACTCAGTTAAAAGGAGAACTATGAGGCGAGTGCTTTTCACTCACCTCATAGTTCTAGCCGACCTAGCTGCACCAGGAGCAGCATGCTGTGTCACAGCATGCTCCCTATTCCACTCCATTTCTTCCTGCACTCCAGGAAGAAATGCCAGTCCACACATCCCTAAGGCCCCATTCACACTGCGCGATTCGCAAATCGCACGTTTGTCGCGCGATTTGCATTTTGCGCAAATGCTTGCATTGAGCAAGCTAGAATCGCAGCAAAATCCGCTCCAAAAAGGGTCCTGCTGTAGCGACACACGACCCGCGACAGCAGGACCCTTTGCCCCATTGCCAAGCATTGGAGAGCGATATCGCGCGGTAAATAGCCGCGATATCGCGGGAATTACCGCGCAATAAAATCGCTCAGTGTGAACGGGGCCTAAGTCTCCTCATGCAGAGTCTGGCAGGTGGACATTCTGCCCCTGAGCTGCTGACCTAAATGGCAACATACCCAGGGGAGCCCGATTCCAACACCAGCATGTTGAGGAGGTGAGTGTGGCAGCTCAAAACACAGGTGTCATCCCCACACAACTAGAAGAACAACCTGGCAGTAGAATAGGAAACCTAGAGAAAAAGACATGAAAGTGGGATTACAGACCTGTGCCACCAAGGTGACCACTGACCTAACGGCCAATCAAAAAAATCAACAAACATTTTTCTGAGCTGCTGATAGCAGGAAAACAAACGGAAATGAGAGCTGAGGGTGGGGTATTTATACTATCTGCTTGTGTCTCTTAAAGTGGGCAGAAGCAAATTATCTCTCATGTAGCTGTCCTGGAAGATATTTGTGGATTAAAAGAGTTTTGAGTTTAGATATAACTTAAAGTAGTATTAAAAACTCTCAAACTTTTTTTCAATCATGAACCCAAATCAAAACAAATATACATTGCCTAACAAAGCATTGCTTTACATTTTTGCCCAAACACAATCATGTTTCTCAACAGCTGTTTCCCAGTCTCTTAGCTTGGCTTCCCTGAACTTCCTGTCCAGTACAAGATCACAAGGGACAGTGCAGAATCCAGCCACTGTTCCATCTACTAGCTTGAAAAAAGGGGCCGTGGGGGGAGGGGAGTAGCTTGATTTGCTGTATGTGTGTGTTTGTGGAGACACCCACAGCTTACTAACACACACATGGCTGACTTCATAGCACTCTGCTTGAGAAAGGAGTCCCTCTAAAACAGGAAGTCAGGGCCGGTGCTGAGGGGACCAGTTGATTCTGCAGGAAACAAACTTTTAGACATCAAGGAGCAGCATTCATTGTAAGTGATTTAAGCAGCAGTTTTATTCAGCAGTTGACATAGCTTTAAATCCTTTTGTCCTTTTAATATCACTTGCAAGTTACCATAAAGGTCATCAGATGCACACAGGAATTCTACAGGCAATTTGGGTGTCACGAGGAGCTGCGTCAACTTTGTGCCTTGGGCTTGTGCCAATAGCATCAATTTGACATCAGTTCGTAATGTTTCTGGGAACATTCAGAAATCATTCACAGGTGCATTTGACCTGCAGTTGTCCGGCTTCAAGAGAGTTTTGCAACTGTATGAACTTATATGGGAATGCAAAACCTGTTTGAAGCAATTTTTAATTTTGCTCACTGATCTGCTTAGGTGAAATTTGCTTGGAAAAATAAAAAAAAAGGTTTTCCCCTATATTTTATTGGTTTCTAGTTTATTTAATTTAGTGTTTTATTTTAACTTTCCTTTTTGTGAGAAGGGGGACTGTAAAATGAGGCTAATGAAGGGCAGATTTATGGCTCAATCCAGGATATCTGAAAATGCTTCCATAATTAACAGGCACCGTTCAAAGTCCATCACACCCTTAAAACCACCTTGAAGTGACACTAAACGTTTTAAATCTTAAAAATGCATTCAAGTACCCCAACAAAAAAGTACCCCATTTGTGTATCACTTGGCCATAGAGCCTCAAAGCATAATCGGAATTGGTGCCAACACTGTCCTTCCTTCTTGAGGGTGGCTACTTTGGTTCTCCATGGTCCCTGTGTTTGTTGTAAAGTAGCCACCGCTCCAAGCTCACTCCTGTGATGAACCACAATCTCAAAAATTAGAAAACTAAAATGCGAGATTGGCCGCCGGCCACTGTCAGAACACCCTAATGGAGCTAGCAGCTAATTGAATGCAACTCCGTAAGGGCGAGAATTTTCCAGCCGGCTTCTGCGATAAGCTGGTCGTGGGATGGAGGATGTCAACAGTGGCACCCACTATGCCAATTTCAGCCAGTTTGTCAGGAACCAGCTGAAATTCAATAGGTGAACACCCTACATTACACAGCTCTAATGACCTTCCCCCTTCCTCAATATGTCAGGGCTCGGGCCTGGCGATTGGTTGCTGAAGTACCAAGGCGTGCAATACGGTAGGCTTCAGCAGTTGAACAGCGTGGTGGGTGAGCATAGAGGTAGTGAACAACAATAGGGGGGGGTGCTAGAACTATGAGGTGAGTGAAAAGCACTCACCTCATAGTTCTCCTTTAACAAACATATGTCAATTAATAGCATTATATTGCATATACATTGCATTCAACATGCTATAAAAGACAGGGCCGGACAAATCCCAGGATCTAGGTAGCCAATGCTCCCTAAAAATTACAGCAGGCATCTAACTTAGAGGTTTTCTTTTGTTAAAAACTGGCTCCTAAAAACTCCTGCTGGCTCCTGGATTGGACAGACTGACTCCTGAATTCCAAATTATATGCCCACCCCTCAAAGATCCGGAGGAAAAAAAAAAAAGAAGAGCAGACTGGAAAAACAGGTTCACTCGTTCTCCTAGTTCATGCTATTGAGATCATACTGCCAGCACAATTAGTCCGTAACCATGGAAACCTTTAGTAATGAGTGGGATTTTGTGATTTCAATGTGTAGTTTATTGTGCTTCTTATTTAAAGCTTGTGAACACATTTAATACTCATTAATTTGTGCTGCTGTTAGCATAACCATAGCATTCCCCAACCATGGTATTTAGAAGCATTCACTGGACATTATAAAGCCATCCATTATTTCCTCTGCAGAACACATTTTCTGTGCTGGGTGCTCTGGCCGTAGCTCACGCAGCACAATATGCTCCCTTATGAAGCAACATATGAATCAGCTTCAATCTAAAATAATTGTAGCTTTTCTTCAGGGGCAAAAATAGAAAGGAGGAAGGTCCACGCTGGATCTGCAAATTGCTTTTAACGTAGGCAGACTCATTTAAAATGGCTCCACTGAACCCAAGAGTCAACCTCACAGCTATGGAGAAAAAAATAAATCCATATTTTCAGGCATTGGAATCTCACATCAAAGTCTGATTGTACAATTTACTAAATTTAGACAAGTAAAACATGCGTGGGCTCATATAAGATCCAATAAAAAATTGTGTAAACATGTTTAGTTAGACATAAGCATATTGGAAAAGTGACCACAAACCTCAGTCTTTGCTTTCAGTTTTCCTTACATTTTGATAGAAGGATTTTTCATCTTTACTCTGTACAATCTACCAAGTTTAGAATGAATAATCTTGAGTTTGGACAGTATTAAAACGTATGGGAACTCTTCCTTCTCAAAATGTTATAGCCGACCATTTAGAACTGCTGAAAAAAACAAAACAAAACCCAACTGGCATTAAAGTGGAACTTTGGGCAAACTAAATACAGTACACAAATGGAATACATATATGGAAACAGTTTCTGTCCATCCAGTTTGGATGTTTACACAGCACAACCCTGTCTGGCTAGGCAGGAGACCTGATTTTTTTCTGTTGCACTTAAAGTGAAACTTTACTCACCTCTGCTCCAGCAATGCAACACCCGTGATCTCTCTTGCCCGCACCAACATCTTCTCTTGGTTTTCAGAGTTTGGGATCTTACAGGTTTTGTCCCTTCCCCAACCTACGACTGGACAGTGAAAGGAGATTCTGTACACCAAAGAGCTACAGGCTTGTGAGGAACCTTACTCCAACAGACTGGCGCACACAGGCCAGGGCCACATACACTGCTCTCACTTGCACTTACAGATAAACTAAACCTGGCAATATTACTAAGGGTAGCATGAACACCACCTCAGTGTCTTACTTTCCCACTGCCCACACATATGCACCAGACACACAGATCCCTGTCTGGCTATGATTAATTCCACATACCGATATTAATCTGCATGCAATCAGATTAGTCATCTCAATCTTTGTCATCCAACCGATGCAATACAAGGAATGTGAGAGCACAGCCACACAATGCAATCTCACCCAGATTAACAGTAATTTACAGCCTGCCATACTGGCACCAATGATACAGTATAACACACACACACACTGAAAGAAAAAAAAAAAAAAACAGCTCAATATTTTTGGCATTTAATATCCCCAAAGGCAGGCAGTGCAGGGAAAACATACCGTTACAAAAAAAATGATATAAGAGTGGGGCTGTAAAGCTGGTGACAAGTTGATGAGTGCGTTTGTCATTTGTTTTGCTTGACTGATTTGATGCAGTGATGTCTTAGATGCCGTTGTGATGTGCGGGGTGTGTCCCTGTGCCTTTAAGGGAGGTTGGGCTTCCTCCTGACAAACCTGCACCCAATTTTATCTTTTGCTACATGTGCTCCAAGATGGCTACTCTCATAGGTTAGAGTTAGGACCGCACTATATAGAGGTGCCTTGACAAGGCATTGTGACTTCCACATTTTCAGCAGAAGACGTGTATCTAAACCTCTGTTTTTAACCTTAGCGGCTAGACGTTTTTTTTTTTGCATGCTGGCGGCTGGTGAGTGTGCTGGGAAACTTTTTGCTGTTGTTATATAGGAGTGGGACAAAGGAAAGACCATATTACAATAAAAAGGGTTCAAACTTTACAGAAAAGGTATCCTGCTCCTGGGCAAAGAAAATGTGGACAATACCCCCGACATGGAT